GGAGCTCCTCCTGCCTCACCTCCTTCGGGCGCTGGCTGTTCTGCTCGCCCTCCTTCGGCGACAGTCCTTCGAGCACGTGGCCCAGGTGCTTCTCCAGCGTCCTCGGCTCGAAAGAGGTGCTCGGTGAGTCGGGCCCTGTCCTGTGGGTCCCCCTACATCATCTCTGTATCAGCTCCCGGCAGCCCGTGCATCCTGCCGTCGCCCCACGCTCCTCGATGTCGCGACGCAGCACGCATCTCGCTCTCGGCGCTCGCGGTTCCATCCTCGTGGCGGCCGCAACAGGCGCCCCACTCCACACAGAGCGCCCCAATCTTTACCGCCCCAAGCCTGCTCCTTGGGCAGCCTCTTGAAACCCTGCGCCTTCTCGACCTCGTCGACCGCCATGACGAGCAGGGCGCCTGTTCGCATGTGGTAGTCCAGGAAGTCCCCAGACTTCGTGAGCTCCTCATGGTACTCCCCCTCCCCGATGGTGCGAGCGGCCCGTGCATCGCGCGCTCGCCAAACTCCGCCTCTAGCTTCTTCCAGTCTCGACCAGACCGCCGTTGGTCCGCAGTAAGTCCGTCAGCTCCTCGACGACATCGGCTAAGGCAGCCCGCTGCGCACTGCGGGGGCCACGAGAGGACGGGGTGCGAGTCGTCCACCTCGCTGCCAAGCTTCGCCTCCAGGGCGAACCGGCTGGCCCCCGCTTGCCTCGTCACCTCTCGAAATGCAACTTCGACTCCTCCGTTGCTTTGATGTTCTCCTGGCGGCGACTCTCTCGGCAAGAACCCCGCCGTGGGCGCCGCCGCTGCGACCGCCGTCTGTAACGCCGCGATCGCCGCCTCCCCATCGCTCTGGAAGATCAGCCTGCGGTAGCCCAGATGCAAGAAGAAGCCCATCAAGACATTGGCCATGAAGTTGGTCACCTTCTTGCCAGGGACCGCGGACGAGTAGGGGGGCTTCGCCTTGGAGTCTCTGGCGACCAGCATCGGGAAGTTGTCCTCCTGGCCTTCTTCCTCGCCGACATCCTCGCCCATGAACGCGAAGCCGATGGGCGCCACTGGGTCTGCTCCTGCCCTCACGCCGTTGCCCAGCACCTCTGGCCGCGCAGCAGACCTCGCGCCAATCTCGAAATACAGCGTGCCCTGGAGTCTCGTGCTGCTCGACGCCCGCCTTGGTGGGTAGTCCCTTCCTCGCGTGGGCGCGGGCCGGCGCGACCTCCTCTGGGTTGCCATCGTAGTCTGCATCCATCTCCATCCCTTCGGGTTCTTCAGCTTCGCGGGGAGCAAGATCGCGACTCACCGTCGCTGGCGTCGGCGGTCTCGCGGTCGGCCCCGGCGCCCGCGAGCCCGCCAGCTGCGGGTCGCTCGCTGGCCCCGCGGAACCGCCGCCTGCCAGTGAGGGCCCGCCGACGCGGGGGCCCATGGGCAGATGTCCAGAGCTGCCGCTGGCGTAGACGAGGACGTCTCTGGCGCGTCCATCAGCGCGCCCACATTGTGAACTCCGTCCTGTAAGTAGAGCGGCGCGATGCCCTTGCTCTCCTCGGCCACGTAGACGTCGATCACGTGGTGGATCTTCTCAGTGAACTCGTTGTCTTGCAAGATGCAGCCGCCGAAGGCCCCGACTCAGGCGAGGTAGCCCTTCGACGCAGCGGCCGAGGCGGACAGGGGCGGCTTGCTGATATTCGCGCGCCTGCCCTTCGAGTCCATCTGCTCGCCGCGCTCGGACATGCCCTTGGCGCTGACGCCTCCTTCGTCTTCCACGATCTCGCCGGTGGCAGTGCGGTGGCCGTTGCCGTCGGGCTCGGTGCAGTCGCCTTCCTGGCCAAGCGGAAACGCCGTGGCCGCCGCGCCCGCGTCGAACGTCATCGCGATGATCTCCCTGTAGTGCTTGCTGTCGGGCTTGGCCTTCACGCTGCTGAGCTCAGCGAGCTCCTCGAACGCGTCGAAGCTCAAGCTGGCGTTCGGGCCCGCCTGTGACGCCGACGCTGGCAGCTGCGTGCTCACCGCGCTGCTCGTCTCCTCGAAGTTGTTGAGGTAGCCTCTGCGGACTCCCCCTCCACCTTGGTTGTTGCAGTGGCCTCCTTTGTCATTTTCCTGGTCATGCTTTCCTTTGCGTTGGCCGTTCTCCTTCGGTCTCCGGCACCCGGATGCTCGGTGCCCTTGTCGTCCGCAGTTACAGCTGGTCGCGGTTGAGTCGCCTGCTGCCTTGCCTCTGGGGCCGCGCCCTTTCCCCTTGTCGCCCTTGCCCTTTCCTCTGCCGCCCTTGCCCCATCGAGCGCCCCTTGACGAACGTATCCGCGTCCATCAGATCTCCTCGAGCTCGACCAAGAGCCCCCTGCGCCTGCCGGGTCTCCAGGAAGCTGCGCCCCCCGCCCCCCCCGTGGCTGGATCGTCGTTCAGCCGCGCGCGGTTGAGGGCGGGGTGGAGCTCGACGTCCTGCGGTGCAAAAACTCTCGATTGCACTCATCTTGACCTCGTCGTCCAAACGAACGTCTCGGCCGTGTCGTCGCGCCCTCTCGTAGCCCCTGATCAGCTCTTCCCACTTCGCGATCTCGCCTGCCAGGTTCTCCAGCTTCGCCTCGGGGTTGGGCGCCCTGATCCTCTTCAGCAACACTCTGCGGCGACCGCCGCTCGTCGGATCCCACCGACGCACCAGCAAGCGTAGGGCCTCTGCGCCGTTCCCTTGACCTACGCTCACCACGAGATCGAACGGCTCCCCCTCCGTCAGTGATATGAACAACGCGTAGAGCTGGGAGAGCTTCTCGTCTATCGCGTCGAACCCCTCACCGTCGATCGCCTCGTCCACGAACTGGGCCGCCGCAGTCGCCGTCGTCAAAACCACTGAGTCGTTCGCCTGGTCGACTGCCCACTCGATTACTGCTTCGAGGCCAACCCCGAAGACGCTGAGCACGTAACTGTTGAGTTTTTTTGTAACCATTCGCTGAGGCGACCTTTTTCGTTCTTGAACATCGGCGGCTTCCAGATGTCCTTCGCTTGGCTCAGCTGAGGAACCCGCTGCGCCGCCTGCTTTGGTGGCTTTAGCCGCTCGACCACATCACCGAGCCTTCTTATGATCTCAGGCCCACCTGCCTGTTGATTATGTTGTGCTTGTTGACGCAGCTCCGCGCTCTGCCGTTGTAGTTCTCCTATGGCTGCCTGCGCTTGTCGAACTGCATTCTGCAATTCGTTGAACGTCTCTTGATTGAGCGCCATGCTTGATCTCGCGGCGCTTCCCGCCGCTTCTCACGTTCCTTACGTAGTTCAGGTACTGTCCGAGCTGTGACCAGTAGCCTTCAAGCCTCTTGATCTTGATTGCCTTGAGCACAAGCCTCCTCCAGGCCGCGCCTTTCTCGCCGATGAACTCGAAGCCCTCGGCCTGCTTCGTAGTGTCTCTCTCTCTCTCTCGCCCGCCGCCTGGCGGGACATCGCGCGCGCCCGGGCAGAGACTGCGGGGCGGGACCGGGAGCTGGAGCTAGTCCAGCTCCGCTACCATCTTCTTTCCATTTGAGCAACGATGGACTACGGGCGGAGCACGATTCAATCTGCTCTCATCGAAATCGCTCTAGCCGAAATTCGGAACGAACGGCACTCAACCGAAACGTCCGCTGGTTTCAGTAACCGCTCTAAGCTACGGGCTGGTCCCATGAAAACCGAACATACATACATACATACATACATACATACATACATACATACATACATACATACATACATACATACATACATATAATATTCGAGCGTCGAAATCCGGCCAAACCGCAGGGCGACCGTCGGTCCAGCGGGCGCGCGCAGACGCGCGCCGGCTGAGCAGCAAAAGGTTGCCAGACCCTCACGGGGCAGTGCCGGGGCAAGGGGGGTAGTGGGGCATTCTGTCCAGCGGGAACACGTACACACACGCTTTTTGTTTGGCGTCGCGGCCCTGCGTGCAGCGACAGGGAGTGCAAGGTCGAAAAGCAGCAGCCCCGCGCGCGCGACTAAGCCCGCCCGAGCCCGCAGAGACCACTAAGGTCCACCAGCGGCCGCCATAGCCAACCAGGGCTGGATGGCCGGGCGGTCGGTGCAGGACGAAACCACGGTGAGGTGGAAGGCGCAATAAGCCAACTGGGACTGAGGGGGGTGCGAGCAAGCAGACTGGACCGACAAGAAGACCGAGGCCGACCGCAGAGAAGCAGAGTGGGAGGCAAGGAGGCCGTGGCAGGTCTGACAGCGAAGGCGTCGCCGAGCCGCAAACGTCGCAGGCTGCAGAGCCGCGAAGGCTGGCGAGGCGGGGCGGCACGCTGGAAACACACACACACACAACCACCCACGCACGCACACACGCACGCACGCACGCACGCCCCCCCCCCCCCCCACACACACACACACACACACCCACACACACACACACACGCACGCACGCACACACACACACACACACACACACACACACACACACACACACACACACACACACACACACACACACACACACACGCACACACACGCACACACACGCACACACACGCACACACACGCACACACACGCACACACAAACGCACACACACACACATACGCACGCACGCACGCACGCACGCACGCACGCACGCACGCACGCACGCACGCACGCACGCACACACACACACACACACACACGCACACACACACACACACACACACACACACACGAACTCACGCACACACACACACACACATACAGCCGGCCTGGCTCGGGTGAGGCAGTCGGCTGACGCCCCCTGGGCGGAGCCGACAGCGGCATCGTCCCCGTCGGCCGCTGTTGGTCGCCTGTCGGCCGAGGCTGACCTGTTCGCCGTCGTCGCGCAGCTCGTCGGCGTCGTCGCCATCGCAGTCGTCATGTTGATCGTCAACGTCGTCGCCGTCGTCGTCGTCGTGCTCCTCGTCGTGCTCGTGTTTTTCGTCACCGCCAGCGTCGTCGCCTTCGTTTTCGTCGTCGATCTCCGCCTTTTCGCTCACTACTCTGCCGCGCGGGGAGTGGCGGCGGGGCGCGCGAGAGGGCGAGCCTGTCTCGCAGCAGCATCTCCTGACCTCGGCGTGGCGCGCGGCCGCGCACGCGCGAAGCCGAGGCTTGGGCAGGGCAGGCGGGCCATTCTCAACGCCCTCGACGCTGGCGCGCTCTCGGCGACATCGCCGCCGGGAAAAGAACTGCCCATCGCTCGGACGTCCATTTCCCGTGCGTGTTTCGGTGCCGCGCATTGTGTCCCCTCGGAAGATGGCCCAAAATGCTCCCCGATAGTCCCCGCCGAGAGGGAATGCGCACGTCTGAACGATGCCGAGCGAAATGAGGCTGGCGCATTCGGCACCTCGCGCCCCCCGCTTCTCCACGGGGGCGCCCCACGGAAAGGGCAGTCACGCGTGATACCCACCCCTACAGGCCATACCTCTGAAGACAGAATTGTTCCGACGGTACGGCTCAACATGGTGTTCTTCCAATCTGATCTGACAGTAATCATCGAATCATCGTCGTCCTTGTGACGACGGAGACTCTCTTCCTGCCTGGTCTCCCCTGGTCCTTGCCGACGCTTGCGCGTTTGATTCAAGATCGCCGCCTCGGGTTACTAACATGAAGCGCGGGCCCCACAAAGGGGGTCCCGTTCGAGGCCTTCTTGCGTCTCATTGACAGACGGGGCTCCCGACTCCCGCTCGACTAACCTCCGCAATATTCAAGCCCTGGGGGTCCGAAAGTGACGACTACAAGTTCACCGATGGCCGCCTCGGATTGGCAACATAAAGTGCGGGCGCCAGAAGGGGCTCCCGCTTTAGACTTCCTCGCGATGTACTTACAAACGAGATTCCTGCCCGAGACTTCTTCGATTTTTTTGTCTTGGGAGTCCAGGGGTGACGACAATTCGTTGTTTTTCCGATGGCCGCCTCAGATTGTTTCTATTACCGGCGCAGGTTTGGAGGGGAGGGGGAAGCGGACGCAGCAGCACGATGACAGACTCGGCGACGCACTGGTGAGGTCACTGGGCTACCACAAGTGCCGCGCGCATGAAATGAACTGGAGCGATCGGCCGCATAGACAAGCTGCCTTGCGAGAAATGACTTTTGTAAATGGCCGCTCTCTCTCTCTCTCTCTGCACTGGCCCCGGACTCGGTTGGAGGAGGAAGCAGGAGGAGGGGAATACTGATGCGCAAACTCCTGGCAACGTATCATCTAGATTCGTGCACTGCCAGGCGGCGAAGACGCATCACTCCAGGACGCGAGGCGCGGGCTGCCCAGGGTCCGACCGACCACCGATGCACTTCAGCCTCGCACTGTGGCAACCAAGGATATTGGCTGTACAATGCAGAAAGTCATTCATATCAAAGAATCAGTTGGGCGCATACACTCGCCAACACAGGTCAATAACTAAAAGGAAAGAAAGAGGAAAACAACGAATCTGAAAAGATTTGCTATAGGGTGGGGGGTCGTCCACCCTCAGTTGTTGCTTTACACGTCACGGACATCACCGACGCCAGCGCCGACGCCGACGCCGGCACCACCGACGCTAGCATGTAAGCGCCGACGCCAGCATCGACGCCAGCACCTACGCCTACGCCAGCACTGGCGCCAGCGCTTGCAACAGCACCGACGCCAGAACAGACGCCAGCGCCGACTCTTGCGCCGACGCGCAGCGCTGGCGCCTGCGCCAGCACCGACGCCAGCACTGACGCCAGCATCCACGCCTGCGATTGCGCTGGCACTAACGCCAACGCCTCTACCAGTGCCGACGCCAGTACCGACGACAGCACCACCGGCAGCGGCTCTGCTTGCACCAGCGCCGGCGCCTACACCAGCACCGGCGCTAGCTCCGACGCCAGCTTGACAGCTGGCGCCTTCGCCGATGCCGCCAGCACCGGCGCCAGAATCAACGCCGCACCATCGCCAGCGCCTGCGCCAGCACCAGCGCCAGTAACTACCGACGCCGGCACCAACGCCTGCGCCCATGCCTGCACCAACGCCAGCGCCCACGCTTGCACCAGCGCCAGCACCGACGCGGGCAAAAGGCGTCAGTACCAACGCTTCAGGCTACGCCAGCGAGCACGCCAGCGCCTCCACCGTCGTTGCCGCAAGCACCGCTGCCAGCATCAGCACCGGCGCCTAAGTCCGCTGGAAGTGCAACGACGGTTTCTCCGCCAGCCTGTGCGCGGTGACGTGTACTCTGCCGGCCGCCGGGGTGACACCTGGTGTCACCCGGTCGCGGGGGCCGCCGCCAGGGCCCCCAGGGCCGCCGCCGGGGCTTCGCAGGCCGTCGCCAGGGCCGCCGGAGCCGCCGCCCGGGCCCCTGGGGGGGCCGCCGCCGGGGCCGCCACGCGCGGCCGCTGCCAAGGCTGCCGAGGCCGCCGCCGCCGCCGGGGCCGCGGCCGCGGACGCGGGCCCAGAGAGCGCCGCTGGCGCGGCCCGAGACTCGAGGTATTTATGATTAAATAAATACCTCCCTATGCTGGCTTGATTCCTGGGCCGCCGGCGCGGGCGCCGGTGCCCCACAGCGGCGGCAGCACGGGGGCGCCCCACGGAAAGGGCAGTCACGCGTGATACCCACCCCTACAGGCCATACCTCTGAAGACAGAATTGTTCCGACGGTACGGCTCAACATGGTGTTCTTCCAATCTGATCTGACAGTAATCATCGAATCATCGTCGTCCTTGTGACGACGGAGACTCTCTTCCTGCCTGGTCTCCCCTGGTCCTTGCCGACGCTTGCGCGTTTGATTCAAGATCGCCGCCTCGGGTTACTAACATGAAGCGCGGGCCCCACAAAGGGGGTCCCGTTCGAGGCCTTCTTGCGTCTCATTGACAGACGGGGCTCCCGACTCCCGCTCGACTAACCTCCGCAATATTCAAGCCCTGGGGGTCCGAAAGTGACGACTACAAGTTCACCGATGGCCGCCTCGGATTGGCAACATAAAGTGCGGGCGCCAGAAGGGGCTCCCGCTTTAGACTTCCTCGCGATGTACTTACAAACGAGATTCCTGCCCGAGACTTCTTCGATTTTTTTGTCTTGGGAGTCCAGGGGTGACGACAATTCGTTGTTTTTCCGATGGCCGCCTCAGATTGTTTCTATTACCGGCGCAGGTTTGGAGGGGAGGGGGAAGCGGACGCAGCAGCACGATGACAGACTCGGCGACGCACTGGTGAGGTCACTGGGCTACCACAAGTGCCGCGCGCATGAAATGAACTGGAGCGATCGGCCGCATAGACAAGCTGCCTTGCGAGAAATGACTTTTGTAAATGGCCGCTCTCTCTCTCTCTCTCTGCACTGGCCCCGGACTCGGTTGGAGGAGGAAGCAGGAGGAGGGGAATACTGATGCGCAAACTCCTGGCAACGTATCATCTAGATTCGTGCACTGCCAGGCGGCGAAGACGCATCACTCCAGGACGCGAGGCGCGGGCTGCCCAGGGTCCGACCGACCACCGATGCACTTCAGCCTCGCACTGTGGCAACCAAGGATATTGGCTGTACAATGCAGAAAGTCATTCATATCAAAGAATCAGTTGGGCGCATACACTCGCCAACACAGGTCAATAACTAAAAGGAAAGAAAGAGGAAAACAACGAATCTGAAAAGATTTGCTATAGGGTGGGGGGTCGTCCACCCTCAGTTGTTGCTTTACACGTCACGGACATCACCGACGCCAGCGCCGACGCCGACGCCGGCACCACCGACGCTAGCATGTAAGCGCCGACGCCAGCATCGACGCCAGCACCTACGCCTACGCCAGCACTGGCGCCAGCGCTTGCAACAGCACCGACGCCAGAACAGACGCCAGCGCCGACTCTTGCGCCGACGCGCAGCGCTGGCGCCTGCGCCAGCACCGACGCCAGCACTGACGCCAGCATCCACGCCTGCGATTGCGCTGGCACTAACGCCAACGCCTCTACCAGTGCCGACGCCAGTACCGACGACAGCACCACCGGCAGCGGCTCTGCTTGCACCAGCGCCGGCGCCTACACCAGCACCGGCGCTAGCTCCGACGCCAGCTTGACAGCTGGCGCCTTCGCCGATGCCGCCAGCACCGGCGCCAGAATCAACGCCGCACCATCGCCAGCGCCTGCGCCAGCACCAGCGCCAGTAACTACCGACGCCGGCACCAACGCCTGCGCCCATGCCTGCACCAACGCCAGCGCCCACGCTTGCACCAGCGCCAGCACCGACGCGGGCAAAAGGCGTCAGTACCAACGCTTCAGGCTACGCCAGCGAGCACGCCAGCGCCTCCACCGTCGTTGCCGCAAGCACCGCTGCCAGCATCAGCACCGGCGCCTAAGTCCGCTGGAAGTGCAACGACGGTTTCTCCGCCAGCCTGTGCGCGGTGACGTGTACTCTGCCGGCCGCCGGGGTGACACCTGGTGTCACCCGGTCGCGGGGGCCGCCGCCAGGGCCCCCAGGGCCGCCGCCGGGGCTTCGCAGGCCGTCGCCAGGGCCGCCGGAGCCGCCGCCCGGGCCCCTGGGGGGGCCGCCGCCGGGGCCGCCACGCGCGGCCGCTGCCAAGGCTGCCGAGGCCGCCGCCGCCGCCGGGGCCGCGGCCGCGGACGCGGGCCCAGAGAGCGCCGCTGGCGCGGCCCGAGACTCGAGGTATTTATGATTAAATAAATACCTCCCTATGCTGGCTTGATTCCTGGGCCGCCGGCGCGGGCGCCGGTGCCCCACAGCGGCGGCAGCTGGGAAGATGGAGCCCCGGGCCGTCTTCCCACCTGCGGCGTGGCTGGCGCCGCACGCGCCGCCGGGCTTCTCGACGGTGGAGCCCCAGCCCCCCCTCGGCCCCGCGTGAGGCGCCTGCCCTGAGGATCTCGGCCTGCCCTGAGGATCTCGGAGTCCCGCCCCCGTCCTCCAAGGGCGGCGGGACACATTGGAAGGGGAAGTGCGCCTTGGAAGGGGAGGTGGCGCCACGCGCTGGGGGGGGGCCCTGTGCTGCTGAAGCTGCGCGCGGGCTGCCGGCTGCGCGATGGAGCGGGTGGCCGTACCGAGGCGTCCGCGTGGGCGAGGCGTCCCACCCAGGGCCCCCGCCAGCGCAGCGGCGGGTCACGGTGCTGGTGGCCAACGTGAC